TCTAAATTAGAATAGTTGGGATAAATTCCAGTTATTATAATTTAAGAAAATATGAATAATTAAATAAATAATTGAAGAAGAATTAAAAGGAACATCAATAAAAAGACTTTTATTCATTTTAATTATTTGTACAATTGTTATTTAAATACAGTAACTATTTACAAGTATTTATAATAATAATGGTTACAATGATTAAAATTGAAATAAAATTGAATCCTAAATTTCCTAAATCTTCATTCTTCTACTGCTACTCCTCTTTTGCTCCATTGATTTTTATCTGCGAAACAAAGAAAAAGAAAAAGTCAAAAGCAGATGAAATGAAATTCAAAGCAGACAGAAAAAATGGACTCATCATTAAAAGCGACTGGTTAGAATCAGTTTGCCCTCTCTGTAAATCACAAGGTTTCTCTTGGTTCACAAAGAGGGATAGAAATAGTGTTTGCAATTAAAGTATGAAATGCACAAAGTTGTAATATTGCACAAATCCAAAGTTTGTCAAACATACTGCATAAATCCAAAATTCCAAACCAAGGATAAAAGGCAAACTGAATAGCAAACTAAACTGTCCAGAATTGCAACACATGCCTAACCAAAGTCCAAACTGGACAGCAAAACTATCCAAACTGTCAAAGGTACAAGAGCCACCAAAAAGGCTATCCAAAAGCTGTCCAAAAGATATAGAAAGATATCAAGAAGTACAAAGTATGCAGAGGAAAACTAGTGTGCAAGCAAACACTTCAAATCACATCATTTTCCTAGGCCAGTTGCTTTTTCAGCATAGTACAGTTCTAAGCAATATTTTATGCTTTTAAAACTGTAGAGAGAGAAGAGGAGAAAAGGAAGAAAGGCTTACAGGGCTTAGGCTTAGAAGGATATAAGACAAAACTGATATAGAACAGTAGGGGAGGCAGAAAAAATCACAAAGAAAATACCAAAAACTATATCAACAAAACATACAGTCCTGCCTCATACTGTAACACAAAAACTGAAGCAAGTCTCAAAGCTGCCTCCACCCTGCTTCAAACAAACAGCAAGCCTTACCTGTGTCAAGCTTAAACAAACAAAAAGCCATGAACCTGCCTCAAATCTGAACCAAATTACAAACAAGTTTACATACAAAGCCTTCACCTGTCCTAAACTATTCAAGTCTAACCTGCATCAAAGCCATACCAAACAACCTGTCCAAGCCTTTCAACCTGTCAAGCCTAAAGCCTACTGTAACATAAACCTGCTTCAAACCCAACCTGCATAAGCCTTGAACCAAACATGAAGCCATAGCCTTAAACATACAAACTGTATCAACAAACAACCAAACCAGTACCATAAGCCAGCAATAAACACACAAAAAGCAAATGTTGCAGAAGCCAAGCCTCAAATTGAAGCCCAAGCCTCAAAGCCCTCAAGCTTAACCTGTCCAAGCCTAAACCACAAGCCTGAACTAACAGCATAAGCCAAGCCTCAAACTGAAGCCCAAGCTCTCAGAACTCAAAGAGTTCATCATCGAGTAACCAACAAAAACAGGGACTCAGAGCAAACATCATCATCTCAGAGCATACAAAACAAAAGCAACATTCAACAGCATATCAGGGCCATCATACAAGCATACAGGGGCAAGGGTTCACATAGACAGAAGAGGAAAAGAGAGTTGAGCAAGGGTTCTCAGATTATCATCATAAAACCCTAAGAAGCGAAATAAAGATACCAGATTTTCCAGCAAAAGCCAGCTTCACCACTCCCTCCGTCTCCAGCCACCTGAAGCACCTCCGATCCGCTCCTCCTCCATCTCCAAAAGCCTCCGTCTCCAAAAGGTATAAAATTCTCTCCTTTCTTTAAAACACCTCACGAGACAAATAACAAAAATAATAATCAGAGCATGCAGGAACTAAAGCAAGAGACGTAAATGGGAAATTTCTTACCTATGCTTGTCGCTGTTACGCTCAACAATGGAGGGAAGAGGAGTAGACGGTAGCGTTTGGTGGCCATAGACGGTAAGAAGCACTCTGTGGTTACGGCGTGAGAAGTGAAGAGGACGAGCGGGGAGGATGAACGGCGCCGCATTGTAACCCTAAGCCTTGTTTCTGAAACAAACAAATGCAACCCTAAAACATTTGTGTCAATTGCGTTGGGCCGGTTCGCCCCTTCAAACGCCTAAGCCCATTTGTTTTCCAAACGCACCCCCTTTATTTTCTTTTATTCTGCCCTTTTTTTTGTTTGGGCTAAACAAATCCACTAAGCCCATTTCATTTATTAAGCCATTTTTATTTCAAACTAGCCTATACTAACATTTTTGTTTAAATAAAAAAATGATACATAAAAAATTCTTCTTTTTGTAAAATGTCTATTAATACCTTTTTTATCATATTTAAGAATACATAAAAATAAGATTTTTTCTAACTTAAATAATCTTCTCTCTTGTTTAGTTTTTTTTGTTTAGTAAACCTTTGTACGTTAATTAAATACTTAGACAATATGATAATTAAACTTAAAACACTTTTTTTTCTTTAAAACCTTTTTGTATATAAAACATTAACAAAATACCTAAAAATATAATTAAACTTAAAACATTTCCTTTTCTTTTCTTAAAATATTTTGTTTTGTACATATTAACAAAGATACAAAAAATCCAAAAAAGAATAAATACATGCTTAATAAATACATTTTTCTCATTTGTAAATGATTACATGCACTTACACAAATACAATACACGTTTGCTTATCTTTTATTCCTATACATTGATACATATTACATTTGAGATCGCAATTCGATTTGGTTGTAAATTATTTGGACACTACTCTCCTATTAAGTCTCATCCTCATTTGTAAATATTTGTACCCCCATTCCCGGATACTTATTTGTAATAGCGTAGACTTTAAATTTCCGCAATTTATCGCTTTCAAATATACCATGGTTAGACCTAGGGTTTGTATGTAAATAAAATCAAACGCTAGATAACCTAATACAAGACAAATACATGAAATCAATACACTATTCACACTTGCACCCCTAGGGTAATCCCGCTTGTTGCCTTCCAAAATGGGCCATGCTTGCACGTTGAGTATCTTTGGCAAAACAAAACGAATCAAATGATCATAGTCCCTCGATGACGCTTTCGAAAGTTGCCTAAACGGAATGATCATAGTCCCTTCAAGCAAAATTGCCAAAGACACTTGGCACCATTGCATTCATGGTCCATACGATGACCCGCGCCTGTCCCGTTAACATCCTAACGCAAGATTGTCCACCAAATACAATGGTGGAACAAAATTGTTAAAAGGGTTAAAACATAGGAAAAATCTTTGAGTACAATAGGGTAGACAAACTCTTAGTTACTTGATCAAACTTGCAAAACACACTTGTCTACTTTTTAAAACCACACTCCACAAACACTTTCAAAACAAACTTTCAAAAAACATTTGAAACATCTTTTCGAAAAGATACACACCTTTGTATATACTCAAACACGAGTCATTACAATGGTTGCTTAGACAAGGCCTCTTTTTCAAAACATTTTCAAAACACACACACACCACAATTTCAAGCAATTGAAAATCAAGGCAAGTGATCTAAAACAAGTAACTAAGAGCCCATGGATAACCATGGATGAAAAGGGTGCTAATACCTTCCCTTTTCATATTCTACCCCCCGAACCCACGAAACATCTCAAAAGGTTTTTCCTGTGCTTTTTAACCTTTCCTTTAGGATAAAATAAAAAGTCGGTGGCGACTCTTGCTAAACCGAACAAGTGCGAATACAAACGCAAAACTTCAAGTCAGTTCTCCCACCGTATCACACCCTTAATCACCAACCTCTGAAGTACGCATGCTAATAAATGGTGAAGTATCTAGTACCAGCGCGTGGACTATACTTGTATTACTCATTATTCTGATAAAGTGAAACTTGGGACTTTATCATGCTCTAATTGTTTGATGTTGTAAGTTAACACAATTTTGGAGCTTTTGAGCTTTGATTGAATGGTGAATAGCACTATTAAAAGGGTGAAGTATCTAGTACCGGCACACAAACGATACTCATATTATTAATAAGTAATATGTTGAACAATTTATCTCTCACTTCGTACACGGTATAGAACTCATATCTATGCATCATAGGTTATATGAGACCCCATGAGAATCATCTTTGATATTTATATAACTCATACATCTTACCATTAACCTAAAACAAATAGCCGAGAGTTGCAAATCGTTCAAATTCTGTTACACTATAAGACCGCTATTCTACAACACTATATCACCACCATTCGACAACACTTATAGTAAATAAGGATTCACAAAAGAACATTATTTAACAACACTGAACCCTAAACCTTAAAAATAAACGAAAGTACCACAAATCTAATATATCTCATACACAAATAATACAACATAATGAACATTAAACCAAAATCTCTTACACCCATAGGTAACATGTGGTTCAACCCTAGCAAGCTTAGCCATAACTCCATCAGTTGGTTTCAAAAACACATCACTGAAAATTCTTCTCAATCCCAAACTAAACAAATGCTTGCTTGTTGTAGGATGCTACTCTTCACATATGCTCGTGTTGCTGCTGGTTGATTAAGCCTTATAACCACGAGTGCTCTTGCTAGTGTTTGAGTCTGTTATTCCAATGAAAATATAAATCTATATGGCAGAATAAAACTTGCTTCTTTGAGATATAAACTTCCTCAGGCATACTCCATGCCTGAAATTTTGTACAAAATCTCCTCTTAATTTAAACTCAAGGAGCAAAATCCAAAACAGATTAAAAATGAAACAAAATCTTATAGGTGATGGTTATCAATTCATAAGTTAGGTGAGCTCTTCCTAGGACACCTCTTAATTTAAATGAGCTCATCCTGATGAAAATAGATACTTGCATTAAAAGTGAACAACAAAAGAAAGTAAGTGGTTAAACATGTCAATCAGAAGCGTCAATGGCATCGAGTGCACCAGCCAATAATTTTCAACTATAAATCTGATAAACTCACATTAACATGCTGGTCACTTTCTACTTAGGCTTAATTTTGAAAGAACGGCAGCTGCCTGATCACCTCCCAGAAGAAAATAAGGATGTCTCAAAGCTGAAGCAGCAGATAAACGTCCTCTTCTCAAGAGACCTCTCTCAGAGATAAGCTTTGTTGCTAAGTCCCAACCTCTACCAGATTCACTATCAAGAATTTGGAAGTCGGGCCTCAGGCGAGTATACTCCCTCCATTTTTTCAAATCATAACCACAGTTTTTTATTTCCAAATTGAAATTCTTCAAAGCAGCAGGTGACCTTAAAGTTGGTATTGCCATTTGCAGAAGTACAATCCCAGCAGAATACATATCAAACAGATCAGGGCTGTTTAACTGAAACCGACAAGAGAGTGGTTAATTCAATCAGTATATATAGATCATATCTTAACTTTGACTACATGATACGTAATCCAACCTGCCATAGGATTGGTGAAAAGAAAGCGGCAATTGGCGCTGGTGGAGGACTTGGTGTTTCTTCTGGGAGTACATATAGTTCTGGTGGACAATAATCGGGATCCAAAAGGGTGCGGTCAGGAACATAATTCTTTCCAATCCGAAGGTCTGTTGCTGCACCAAAATCAATAAGTTTAATCTGCCCCCGTTTAGTGACCACTAAGTTGGCTGGCTTTATATCTCTATGAACAATGCCTGTATCGTGAATTTTCTTAAGAGAAGTGATTATCTGGCGCATGATTTGCTTGATGATCAATGCATTCCGTCGAAAAGAGTCTACACCTTCCAAGACACGTCCAAACATGAGAGATTCTAAGTTTGAAGGGAAGCTACGCCCCTTGATGTAATCAGCAAGTGTAAGATCTCCCTGCGATGCGGAAAACACCTCTCCAATTAATGTATGTTAAGGAATGAACAAACGAGACCAAGATGATTAATCAAGAGAACATTTTAAAAGCACCTAATTCTAAGAGTATTATTATTAATGCAACAGAAATATGAACCATGGCACCTCAAATTTCCAAACAAGCCATTTTCCACCTTTTGTGAACTTTGAGTTAGTTTTATCAGCTACAAAACTTCCGAGAAACTCAGCACATGTTTCAGGTGCTGCTCGAGATAGCCTGTAATTAAACCATTCCTCAAATTCAGCAAATTCCTCAGCCCCTCGAATTTCAACCTTAACCTGTATATTCAATTAGTCAGAGAAATGATACTGAATATGTAAACAAGATTATACAGACAAACGGAGAACAAGATGCTATTTCTCTAAAGGCTATAAAGCAGTGAGACATAACACATTACATATATCAGTGTTGTTTCGGTGAAGGACAAAGTAAATACTATTTAACGAACAAATAAGGGTTAATGATACCTTTTTAAGAATGACTTTATCCTTAGATCTGGGATCTAACAGTGCTGCCTTGGATCTTCCCTTGTTGTTCAAGTCTCCATCAAGCACATTCTTTGGGACCAAAAGACCAGAATAAACAACACCAAAAGACCCTTCACCAATTTTATCTCCAACAAGAAAATCACGTGTCTTCAAGTTTCTCTTTCCAGATAGATTATCCAAACCAAGTTGAAGAGGGGCGAGAAGGTAAGCATCAATGGCACCAATAAGAACACCAGGTCTTGAAGTTAAGTAAATCCATATAAGGCCACCAAACACAAGAAACTCCCATCTTTGCATATCTGGTAATTCTTGAAACTCGAGTATTCCTGATTGGACGATAGAAGGAAAGTGGTGGACATCAACAACATTGTCCAAAAATGCATTACACTTTGTACTAGAGTTAGTGTTGAAACGATTAGTGTTAGTGTTAGTTAAGAAAGAAAAGTTGTTTGGTGAAAGGGTGGGTTTGAAGGGATGGAAGAAACAGATTGCAGTTGAAGTTGGATGAAGCAAAGAAGCCATATGAAATGATATGATATTGGTTCCAACTCCCTTCCAACTGGAACTAACTAACATAGTAACATCAGCATAGGCACCGTTTTTGCCACGTGTTCTTCTTTCAACACCTTTTCTTTTGCTTGGTCCTAAATTAAGGCCTCAACCTTAGCCACAAAGATCCATAAATTTGCATATTCCATTCTTAAGTAAAATATAAATATTTTGTCTTTTGAATTACAAATTTCTTTATTAAATTATAATATACACGTAAGTAAGTCATGTTCTAGCACTTGTTATCAAAATTATATTATTACTTGATCCATTCCCACACCTAGCCTTTTTTTGATCCCGTCCATACTACTTTTACTTCCGAACCTATTCCTTCTTATTCATATAATTCTGAAGATGAATGATTTCACGCACTCGGTTGCTCTTATCTGGAAACTGCCAACAGATTCCATGTTGGATTCTCATAGATTATTCTACCCATTCTAGGAAGACTCAGGCCTCTGTATCTTCCTACTCTGGAACTCATTCTTTGTCTTCCTGCTCTAGAACAAGAAGTTCATTATGAAGCCTCATTTGTTCAAGATCATCAGATTGAGGAAACTGTTAACTGATGAAATAGAATGAAATCCATCTTACTTTCCATTCATGTGTAGGATTATTTATACAAGCATTAATCAGAAAACAAACTACAACTAATCTAACTAATTCAGTTAGATTCTAAACTAACTCTAACAACCTTGCTGACTCAGCAAGTATACAATAAATAATACATGAATAATCAATCTCTATTACCCCCTCAAGCTGAGACACAAAGATTTTTGAGGCTAAGCTTGGACACCAAATGTTGAAACAGTTGAGGGTGTAGAGGTTTTGTGTGGATGTCAGCAAGTTGTGCAGTAGTTGGAACAGGCAGCAATTTGATGACTCCTAAAGCAACTTTATCACGAACGAGATGGCAATCAATCTCTATGTGCTTAGTGCGCTCGTGAAAAGTAGGATTCTGTGCTATATGTATAGCAGACAAGCTATCACAATAGATAATAACTGGCTGCAGAGCTGGCTGTTGAAGATCTTGAAGGAGATACAAAATCCACTGAACCTCACATGTGGTTGTAGCTAAAGCCCTGTATTCAGCCTCTGAGGAAGATCTGGATATAGTAGACTGCTTCTTGGATTTCCAACTGATCAAAGAAGAGCCATAAAACACATTGAAACATGTGACAGACCTTCTTGTATCAGGGCATGAAGCCCAATCAGAATCACTAAAAGCACTCAAAGTAGTGTTCTTCTGAGCTGAGAAGAACAGTCCCTGACTTGGAGCTCCTTTGATGTACTTGAGAACCCTTAGTGCAGCTGTATGATGCTCAAGCATAGGCTTAGACAAATATTGACTCAAAATGTTCACTGCGTAACAGATGTCAGGCCTAGTATTAGTGAGATAAATCAATCTTCCTATCAATCTCCTATAAGACTTAACATCCTCATAGGGGTGATCTGTGACGGCTTGGAGCTTAATGCTAGGATTCATTGGTGTTGTAACTGGCTGGCAGGCAAGCAAGCCTGAATCATCAAGTAATTCAAGAGCATACTTCCTCTGTGACAAGACCAAACCTGTATGAGATCTAGCCACTTCTAACCCAAGAAAGAATTTCAGATTGCCTAGATCTTTGATCTTGAATTGAGCATCCAATTGAGCCTTGACATGAACAATTTCTGTCAGGTCAGAGCCAGCTAGAACGATATCATCAACATAAACCAATAAAACGGTAATATGAATAGAAGTTTTCTTGACAAACAGAGAGTAATCAGACCTAGATTGCACATAACCAAGAGCAACTAAGGAAGAAGTAAGCATAGCATTCCATTGTCTGCTAGCTTGCTTAAGTCCATATAGACTTTTTAGTAACTTGCAAACCTGTGTAGGTTGTGCAGCCTGATAACCCTGAGGTAATGACATATACACCTCCTCTTCTAGATTCCCATGCAAAAAGGCATTGTTTACATCGAGTTGATGAAGGTACCAGTTATGTACAATAGCCATTGCCAAAACTAATCTGACTGTGGTCATCTTCACAACAGGAGAGAAAGTCTCAAAGTAATCCAAGCCATGCTCTTGTGTGTAACCTTTAGCCACCAAACGAGCCTTATATCTTTCGATGGTGCCATCAGCAAACCTTTTGATTTTAAACACCCATTTGCAACCTATGGGTTTCTTCCCTGGAGGTAAATCAGTAAGGATCCAGGTCTTAGTAGTCTCAAGAGCTTGGATCTCCAAATTCATAGCTTGTCTCCATTCCTCTGACTTAACTGCCTGAGAATAACTCCTTGGCTCAACAACCTGAGAGATTGACAAGGTATAGGCCCTATGTGATGAAGACAAGTGATCATAAGACACAAAGTTTGTTAGTGGATACAACACATTGGGAGATTGAGAAACCTGAGAATTCTGAGAAGGAACCAAAGCAAGATTACAATGATAATCTTGTAAGTAAGTGTGATACGGTGGGAGAACTGACTAGTGTTTTGCGTTCGTATTCGCACTTGTGCGGTTGAGCAAGAGTCGCCACCGACTTTTTATTTTATCCTAAAGGAAAGGTCAAAAAAGCACAGCAAAAACCTTTTGAGATATTTCGTGGGTTCGGGGGGTAGATTATGAAAAGGGAAGGTATTAGCACCCTTTTCATCCATGGTTATCCATGGGCTCTTAGTTACTTGGTTTTTTAGATCACTTGCCTTGATTTTCGATTGCTTGAAAATGGTGTGTGTGTGGGTGCTTTTGAAAATGTTTTGGAAGAAGATGCCTTGTCTTAGGCTAACCTTGTAACAATTCTTTACTCGAATATTTTACAAAGGCGTGTATCTTTTCGAAAAGATGTTTCAAAATGTTTTGAGAGTTTGTTTGAAAGTGCTTGTGGATTTGTGGTTTTTGAAAAGAAGGCAAGTGTTTTTGCAAGTGGGTCTCAAGTAGCTAAGAGTTTTATCTACCCTATTGTACTCAAAGGTTTTTGTTATGTTTTAACCCTTTTTAACAATTTTGTTCCAACATTGAAATTGATGGACAATCTTGCGTTTAGGAAGTTTATTCGGGACGGGCGCGGGTCATCGTATGAACCATGAATGCAATGACGCCAAGTGTCTTTGGCAATTTGCTTTGAAGGGACTATGATCATTCCGTTTAGGCAACACTTTGAGACTTATGATCATTTGATTTTGTTTTGCCAAAGATACTCGACGTGCAAGCATGGCCCATTTTGGAAGGCAACATGTGGGATTACCCTAGGGGGTGCAAGTGTGATTGTGTATTGATTACATGTATTTGTCTTGTATTAGGTTATCTAGCGTTTGATTTTATGTACATGCAAACCCTAGGTCTAATCATGGTATAATTGAAAAACTGTAAATTGCGGAAATGTAAAATCTACGCTATTACAAAATAGTATCCGGGAGTGGGGGTACATGTGTATGAATGGGGATGAGACTTATAGTATCCAATAAGTTACAACCAAATCGAATTTGCGACCAAATGTAAATATCGAATATACAAATATAAGATAAACAAATGTGTAGGAGCAATATGAATGTATTGTGTATTGTGTGAGTGTACAAGTATATGAGTATGTAATTATTTACAGGTGCGACATGTGAAATTAAAGTGTATTAGGGTATTTGACCTAGATATGTGTTTTAATGAAACTTTGATTTGTGTATTTTTAATATGTATAAAACAAAAATGTTTTAAATTAAATGCTCAAGTTTTAATTAAATTGTGAAAATGATATTTTGAGAAAAAAGAGTATATTTCCATGTGTTATGTACAAAAATATTTAAATGTCAAGAATTGAATTATGCATATTCAAAAAAGGTATTTTTATTGTTATGTACAAAAAGTAAGTGAAAAGAAATGTTTTTAATTTAATCACATTATATATAAAAATGTATTAAATGTCAAAAAATTAAATTATGTATAAAAAGAAGTGTATTCTTAATTGTTATGTGTGTTCAATATATATTCGAAAGTGTTTTAAAATTAATTGAATTAAGTATAGAAAAGAAAGTTTAAATTAGATAAAATATGTTTTTTTTATGTATTAGTATTAATATGATATTTGTAATATGATAAGTTAAAAAGAATATATGGTTTATAAAAAGAAAAAGGTTAGTATTAATCAAATGTTTGTATAAAAAATGTTAGTGATTTTGTTGGGCTTCAGAGGGAATTAGAAGTGGGTCAGGCCCAACGATTGCTGGAGCAATGTTCTTAGGGTTTGAGAATTGTTGTTCATACTTTTCGTTCAACTTCATCTTCCGGTCATAACTCCTCTGTCCAGCCATCAGCGCCGCTCCCCCAAGTCTCTCTTCCCTCTATGGCATGAGCCCTGTGGTCTTGTGATTCAAGGTTCGATTTCAATGTTTATGTTTCCTTTTTTACGAATTGCATGCTTCATTTCAGTTTGAATCTTAACCTTAATCTTTTATTATGAGGTGAAGGAGAAGAAAAGAGGGAGAAGATTGTACTACCTGACCTTGGAGAAGGAGGAGAGACGGGGGATGTGGCGCTCAGGAGGCCGGAACGAGCGGAGGGAGATTTGCGCGATGATGATGAACTTGCAGCAATTCCGGTTTGCGTATTCTCTTCCTCTTTGTTATCTTGATGCCTTCGAGTTGCCTTTGAATTGCATGTGATATTGCTTTTTCTGATATTGATGCTTTGTACGCCTTTGCCTTCTTCTTCTGATTTTGCCCCTTGAATGATTTGCCTTAGTTCTCGTATGCTTGCCTTAGATTCTGCTGCCTATTTTCCACCCAATGATGAATTCAAAATTCTGAGGGGTTGTACCTGTTGCCTCTTGATTGCCCTTTGGAACTGTTGATTATGACGCCTTGAGATGAACTTCTGAAGACTTTTATTGCCCCTCTGAATGTTTTGGTATCAGTATGCTGGTTTCTTGCCCGATGATGTGTATACTGAGGGCCTTGATTTGGAATGCTTCTTTTCCTTTTCTCTCACAGTTGCC